TTTTTGTAGAAGAAATTTTGGAGGAAGTTATCTTAACTTTTGTTTGAAAACTAATCATTTTCTATCAAAATATGCAATATTTCGAAAAATATTTCCACCAATTACGAATAAAAGAAAATTTGTTATAGCCATTTCTGTACATTCAATGCACTTTACAAAAGACCCTTCTCATTCTGATGGCTTGCCTAGTCAGTACCTCGTCTTGCCCCTTTGAAGTTTTGTCTATGTATGGAATTATAATAAATGACAAATGAGCCTATAAAATCAATTAGACCGTGATGGGACTCTCTTGCAGTAATAATGCATTGATCTAGTCGTCAGTGGAGTCACAAAAGACTATCTAAATTGATTCATTTCTATCAATAAGCTACACCCATATTGATATGTCTGTTCCATAAGTAAATGTTTTTTAATTAAATAATTGTTTTCGATTCACTGGATCTTACCTCTTTTGGAAGCAACATTGGTTCAGCTTCATCTAGAAAGCTCTTCTAGATAGAAAAGTACTTTCATAAAATTAGCCAAACAGGTCCAAAAGCTACTTTTGGATTTCAAAAGCTCGTCTTAGCTTTTCATAAGCCAAACAGGCTTTAAGCTTTGCATGCCTGAATGTTGAATTTAACCAGCCTGAACTGGCCAATTATTTTATATGCCTTTGTTAATAATGTTCAGTTCAATATGCCAAATGCATCTTTACTGTTTAAATCATAGTTAACAGGTTTAGTTATGCTGTTAAGTTGGTACTATTAAGAGAGTAGGGGAACACTAGTTCCTGTGATTGCCTTAAAATCAGGCACTTTTACGTTTTTGATAGGGTATGTTTGGTATGCTTGACATGATAAAGACAAGGCATGATTGAAGGAAGAGAAATACATGTGATGTTTGTCCTATATTTGGTCTAATCGAACATATTGAACATTGCCAGTGTGCTGGAACATTGACTTTCAGGAATGAGGTTTCGACTTTTGTGTTACAGAACTCCCTCATTTTTTGCCCAAATTTGGAAGGACTAAGAATTGTGGTCTAATTGAAAGGTGGTTTTACTCCAGCCAAGCCCCGAAATCCAATTTTGTGAAACTTCTGGCCTAAAAGTTGCGTTGAGTTGATAGTTGGCATAAAATTTTGTCGTTGATCATGTCATTTATCGAATGCACATTCTGTTGGATGTTTATCGTCTAGTTACTTTGAACTTCCAGCAATTCTAGCAATGAGCTGATGCCTGATGGAATCTCAGAAGGGATTCATATAGTTTAATCTTGAGATTAGGACTCAGTTTGTTGCACGAGTCTAGTTTTTTGCTTCCAAGTTCTGTCGCACTGCATATTGCATCATTTCTTTCATAAGTACTTATGTAAAGAAAATTACATGCACAGACTTTTGGTAACTTGTAGTTAAGAAAAACGAGTAATAAACTTCATTTAAAGTAAAAAGAACATAAGAATTAAAGATGAAATTGAGTAGGGTAGTAGGGCTAGGGCGGCCTTCAAAAGGTAATACTCAATGGAGACCATAACAATCATGAAGGGTCTACCAAAAAAAAAAAAGTAAATAATAAAATGACTATTTAATGTGCAATTGGTCCAAATGGAAATTTCTTTTCTATCTTTTAACAAGAATTTGCTTCTGCTGAGGATTTGATTACTCATTGGATTCTGTTTTAGATCGAAAAGTCGAATGACATACCAGTGTCACTTTTAAATTGTTTAAGTTATCAGACGACTTAATTCAAATCTCACAATCAATCTAAATACAACAACCAGAAGTGTCTATACGTATTAAAGATATGAATATAAATGAAATGTGGAAAATCTTTTTTCTTTTAAATATTTTAAGCTAAGAGACAACGTAAGCGTGAGTTGTTTCTTGGCATCTCTCTCACACATGTATGTTCTTCTTTGTGGAATTGACAGCTTGGAAAAAGTAATCATTTCAAGAAAATCACGCATCCAATGTCGGTGGACCCATAAGGGTAAGTGAAGACCAAGGATCCTGTTTGGCATGATAAGATAGCTTTCTTGATTGAATTATTGGATAGAAGTTTCATGAACCATTGGATTAAATTCCAAGTCTTGGAAGCACTTAATACCGTTCATTACCAATCATTGTCCCTCCTAAGGTCAATAGTGGATAATCAGTGGGATGGATCTTATTATGGAAGGCAAGGTTACAATGGCAATGGGTATAATGCAGGTGCTGTTGTGGCATCAAAGGGAACCACCAGCAGCCTGTAAGTTGAATTACTGGACTGTGCTGATTGAGTTTATCAGAGAGACTAAATTAATGTGAACGTTAGAAGTGTGGTATGAAAAAATTTGTAGCTGGATCATATTTCATGAGGTGTAAGGATTTTTTATGACTTATTTTTGAAATTTTGATGTGTCTTAAAAGAGTTCTTCATAATAGTTTGTAGCTTATATTTATTTATTTGTTCTTTTGGAGCTTTGTGATGTTAATTACTTTTATAATTCTCATGTCTAGTAGAAAAGCTTCGAAATTTATTTAGTTCTCAACGCTTGTACAAATAGCATCCTGAATTCGATGAGATTGTATTTGCATTACGAAGAGGATTCTCGAGTGAGATTGCTTCAACAAGCTTCTTCAGGTATGCTTGTGGCAGTTCCTTAGTAAGGGCCCGTTCGGCGTTGCCTCCTTTTTTTTTTGCTTGTAGAAGAACTTTTGGAAGAAGTTATCTTAACTTTTGTTTGAAAACTAATCATTTTCTATCAAATATATGCAATATTTCGAAAAATATTTCTACCAATTATGAATAAGAGAGAATTTGTTATAGCCATTTCTGTACATTCAATGCACTTTACAAAGGACCCTTCTTATTCTGATGGCCTGGCCTAGTCAATACCTAGTCTTGCCCCTTTGAAGTTTTGTCTATGCATGGAATTCTAATAAATGACAAATGAGCCTGTAAAATCAATTAGACCGTGATGGGACTCTCTTGTAGTAATAACGCATTGATCTAGTCGTCAGTGGAGCCACAAAAGACTATCTAAATTGATTCATTTCTATCAATAAGCTACACCCATATTGATATATCTGTTCCATAAGTAAATGATTTTTAATTAAATAATTGTTTTCGATTCACTGGATCTTACCTCTTTTGGAAGCAACATTGGATCAGCTTCATCTAGAAAGCTCTTCTAGATAGAAAAGTACTTTCATAAAATTAGCCGAATAGGTCAAAAAGCTACTTTTGGATTTCAAAAGCTCCTCTTAGCTTTTCATAAGCCAAACAGGCTTTAAGCTTTGCATGCCTGAATGTTGAATTTAACTAGCCTGAACTGGCCAATTATTTTATATGCCTTTGTTAATAATGTTCAGTTCAATATGCCAAATGCATCTTTACTGTTTAAATCATAGTTAACAGGTCTAGTTATGCTGTTAAGTTGGTACTATTAAGAGAGTAGGGGAACACTAGTTCCTGATATTGCCTTAAAATCAGGCACTTTTACGTTTTTGATAGGGTATGTTTGGTATGCTTGACATGATAAAGACAAGGCATGATTGAAGGAAGAGAAATACATGTGATGTTTGTCCTATATTTGGTCTAATCGAACATATTGAACATTGCCAGTGTGCTGGAACATTGACTTTCAGGAATGAGGTTTCGACTTTTGTGTTACAGAACTCCCTCATTTTTTGCCCAAATTTGGAAGGACTAAGAATTGTGGTCTAATTGAAAGGTGGTTTTACTCCAGCCAAGCCCCGAAATCCAATTTTGTGAAACTTCTGGCCTAAAAGTTGCGTTGAGTTGATAGTTGGCATAAAATTTTGTCGTTGATCATGTCATTTATCGAATGCACATTCTGTTGGATGTTTATCGTCTAGTTACTTTGAACTTCCAGCAATTCTAGCAATGAGCTGATGCCTGATGGAATCTCAGAAGGGATTCATATAGTTTAATCTTGAGATTAGGACTCAGTTTGTTGCACGAGTCTAGTTTTTTGCTTCCGAGTTCTGTCGCACTGCATATTGCATCATTTCTTTCATAAGTACTTATGTAAAGAAAATTACATGCACAGACTTTTGGTAACTTGTAGTTAAGAAAAACGAGTAATAAACTTTATTTAAAGTAAAAAGAACATAAGAATTAAAGATGAAATTGAGTAGGGTAGTAGGGCTAGGGCGGCCTTCAAAAGGTAATACTCAATGGAGACCATAACAATCATGAAGGGTCTACCAAAAAAAAAAAAAAGTAAATAATAAAATGACTATTTAATGTGCAATTGGTCCAAATGGAAATTTCTTTTCTATCTTTTAACAAGAATTTGCTTCTGCTGAGGATTTGATTACTCATTGGATTCTGTTTTAGATCGAAAAGTCGAATGACATATCAGTGTCACTTTTAAATTGTTTAAGTTATCAGACGACTTAATTCAAATCTCACAATCCATCTAAATACAACAACCAGAAGTGTCTATACGTATTAAAGATATGAATATAAATGAAATGTGGAAAATCCTTTTTCTTTTAAATATTTTAAGCTAAGAGACAACGTAAGCGTGAGTTGTTTCTTGGCATCTCTCTCACACATGTATGTTCTTCTTTGTGGAATTGACAGCTTGGAAAAAGTAATCATTTCAAGAAAATCACGCATCCAATGTCGGTGGACCCATAAGGGTAAGTGAAGACCAAGGATTCTGTTTGGCATGATAAGATAGCTTTCTTGATTGAATTATTGGATAGAAGTTTCATGAACCATTGGATTAAATTCCAAGTCTTGGAAGCACTTAATACCGTTCATTACCAATCATTGTCCCTCCTGAGGTCAATAGTGGGAAAGAAAAAGATCAAATAAATAACATGGATTCTTTTGAAATTAGAGGCAAGCAAAGATTTTGGATTCAAACCATGACAAACCGCAAGAAGTTTCCTTTCAAAAAGTCATAATAATAATTATGGACGATGCTTGATACGTTGTATCAAACACAAGAAAATATTATATAATAGAGTGAAATTCAAGGACGCCGAATTTAGTCAATTTACCCTTTTGCACCTACCGCTAATGATTAGGCTTGTTTCACACGAATAATCCGTAAAGTCCCTTCTTTCTCCGAGGGAAGCCGAAGGCTAGCAATCTTTTTCTTACTCAACTTCCCAACTTGCCCTCATGGTGAGATCCTTTTATCCCTCCCTCCGTCCCTTTTTTTTTTTTTTTTTTTTTTTTTTGTGGGGGTCAAAGAGAGGCCGATGTAAGTGATGTCTGGGGTACAAGGCCTATCAGTCAGTTGTGCTGAGGCCAATAAAATATATTCTTTTCTTTCTTCATACTGTGCAGTATTATAAAACACAAGAAGGCCTACTCTACTGGAGATTCACCTAAAATCAGTACTATGGCAGGACAACATGCATTTTTCTCTGCAAACATCTGCCTATCCATGTTTCTCTTTGTAATGCTTCCTGTACTTGGCCATGGCTTGGGAACTGATCAAGCCAGTTCACTTATGGCCTTGCGCCAGTCGAAAATGGAGTCTCGAGGCATGACTGCCGACGAGAAATGGACAGAAATGAGTGTTAATGGCTCAGAAAAAATAGCCTCTGATTTAGGAAATATGAAATATGATATGATAAAAGGTGGACTTCCTGGACAGCCATTAGGGGTTAAGTTTAAGCAATATGCAGGATATGTTAATGTTGATGAAAAGAAAGGAAGAAGCCTTTTCTACTACTTCGCTGAGGCTGCTGAGGATCCTTCTTTTAAGCCACTTATTTTGTGGCTCAATGGAGGTGAAAACTCTCTCTCTCTCTCTCTCTCTCTCACAATTTTATACTCATCTGCACCCGTACCCACATATAGCATGCATTGTGCAAATGTTGAGACTTCGACGAAAAAATGAATCTAGTCTGCAATAGGGCATCTTGAAGACTAAACTTCAATAAATAAGTTTTTCTTCTCCCTAGGAGATTAAGGTTTTAAACGAGGGGAATGCTGATTCTCTGTTTCAGTGTCAGAACATTAAAAGTACCACTCTAACTAGATTCACAGATCCACAAAAGTGGTGAAGTAAATAACTGATCTTGTCATGGTTATATAAATTATTTTAAGACCATTAGGGCATTTTTGGCAGTTTGTAACAAACGAGATTTTAGCTTATTTTCTTAATCCTTTGTCAATTCCACCACTCTAAACGTGCCATCATTAAAGTTTTTTATCTTCAATTATGTACAGGACCTGGTTGTTCATCACTTGGAATGGGGGCAATGGCTGAACTTGGACCTTTTGGGGTAAATCCAGATGGTAAAACACTCTATTCAAGAAAATTTGCATGGAACAAAGGTATATATAAGATTTGCATGTGCTTTTTATCTTATCACATGATCATTTTTAAATGGCCTCCCAATTCCTCGTGTTATAATGTGAGCGCGGCACGGAGTAATTGTCCGGGCTAGGCTAACCTGATTGGAGTCTATGCTTTCGTGTATGTGATGCAGTTGCAAATATATTGTTTTTGGAGTCGCCTGCAGGCGTTGGATTCTCTTACTCAAACACGACCTCAGACTATGAGCTGTCTGGAGACAGAAGAACCGGTAAAATACCCAGTGCTACAAAATTTGACAGTATAATGAGCAAAATTTTTACGTTTTCCTTCATTAACACACTCTAGTTTGTCTAGTCTACTTACAGACATGCCATTAATGAAATCTTTTCCATTTTGAACTTGTTAAATAACATGAAAATTTTCGAAAGCAATCACCATCAAGTAGATTGGTTTCTTTAATTCAACTAAGACCACATTCTGAAATTTTTAGTTGAATAAAGAACTGGGAAATGAAGTTTTTCAATCAACTACTCAAATCAGCTTCCCTGTTTTTACAAATATTAAGATTTTTTGGATAATTTGTTATAGTCCTAGATCATTTTTCTGTCATGTTGCAGCTGAGGATGCGTATACATTTTTGATAAACTGGTTCAAGAGGTTCCCTCATTACAGGACAAGGGATTTCTACATAACCGGAGAAAGCTATGCAGGTAACTTCAGCAAAAAACTTCTCCTTCCAACATGAAAGAAATCATTTGAGTAAAAACAAAATAAAAAGAAAAGAATAAGAAGCTACTTTTAAATTAAGACATTCTTACGGCATTTTGATTCACTGGATATAGTCTCGTCTCCAGGGATTTCACTCTTTTTTCGAGAACTTAATAAAACTTCAATATAAAAGATTAAATGATTTTTCAATATTTCAAATATGGGGTGGCAGTTCGTAGAAAAAGTCCTCTGTCAGCACTCTGATTGAACTTCAATAATAATCATGACAGGTTACTATATTCCCGAGTTAGCAGATGTTATTGTCAACAGAAACAAGAAAGCACACTCGTCTTCAAGGATCCAACTTAAGGGCATCATGGTAAACTTTTCTGGAAATATCCCTCCAGTACATTGAATTTTTTTTAAAGTTTTCCTGAACTATGGAGCAGAGTCTTCAATATTCAGTAAGAATAAAAACTGGAAGGGAAAATATATGTACCTATTATGTGTAATTGGATAAATTCATGCAAAATTTTATGAATAATTAAGATCAATTCGGGTCAGTTGATATGCAGCATTGTCTTGATGTGATTTAATCCTGCAATTTATGTAGCAATAGACAAGACTGAGTTGTCAAAAAGGACTCACAGCGGAATCCAAATTTAATGGGACTAAATTTTAGTTTGCTGTTGTTTTTATTAGATATGCCATATATTCTTGCTTGACAACTTGTAAATTTAGAAGGTCTTTGTCTATGCTTACATAATTTCTATCTTGTAGATTGGAAATGGGATAATGAACGATGATACAGACAATAAAGGTATTATCGATTTTCTTTGGAGCCATGCACTGATTTCAGACGAAACGTATCAAGGGCTTACAGGAAAGTGCAAGCCAGGAAGCTCAAGATGTGGAAGTTTAGATGTAGATGAAATTGGAGCTATAGATTTTTATAATATATATGCCCCATTATGCTCGTCTTCCTTCAGATTGTCAAACAAGACGAGAAAAGAAATAGGATACGATCCTTGCGAATCAGAGTATGTTTACAGCTATCTTAATCTTCCCCAAGTACAGAAAGCCCTTCATGCAAACAGAACAAAACTTTCCCACAAATGGGAACTTTGCAGGCAAGAACCTTGATATTTGAAAAAGTTTTTAATACAATGTTTTATACATTGGATTAGACAGGATTGTTGTCATTAATCTTTTCTAGTTCCATCGAATCTGGTGTGGCGTATCAAACATTCCTGACAAAATAAAATTATTCTTGATATTTGAAAGTTGAATAGAATTCCTGGATGTTTAGACAAATTTTCTGTTTTTTCTCAGTGTTGTGATCAATTCCTGGAGGGACAGCCCATCAACAATGTTTCCAATATATAGGAGGCTTATGGCCTCGGGTCTTCGGATACTTCTTTACAGGTAATTGTATTTCCTATTTAAAAGGCTGAACACAGATTACAGTTAGAAGCAACAGGAATAGGCCTAATTGGACACGTTTTCTATATAAATGTGTGTGTATATCTCGTTATTTGAGAACCCTTTTCACCTTTTGGGCTTCAACTGAATCGAAGAATACGTTTGACGAGCCTCTTTTATAGTGCATAGATTTTGCAAATGCTAATATACATCTTTGTCAGTGGGGATGTGGATGCTGTGGTTTCAGTGACTGGTACAAGATATTCCATTGCTTCTTTGAACCTCAAAGTGATCAAACCTTGGCGTCCTTGGATGGATAAAACCGATGAAGTAGGTCTTAGCCTTCAATTTCTTTGCATAACTAAACCTTCAATGACATGTTTGTTATGCTGGGTCTCTATCGAGCTCTGCATACTAAATACCATCTATTTAGTATCAACTATCCTGATTTCTTTTTTCTGCAGGTGGCTGGATACCAAGTAGTTTATGATGGTTTAACTTTCGCAACAGTTCGTGGCGCGGGTCATCAGGTTCCACAATTTCAGCCCCGGAGAGCTTTCATTTTACTGAAAATGTTTCTTGCAGATCATTTTTAAGAGAACAGAAACTGAAGTTATGGAATTTTTTATCTTATAGTAGTTGATGAAAATAATCTGAGCATCAAATCAATTATTTTCCGTCGGTTTTTTCTAAGTGGAACAAATGATTGAAGTATAATTTGAGGATAATCATTATGAAGTTATGTCTCTATGAGTACTCATAATTTTACAAGGTTAATGAACTATGGTCGCATTTGGTACTCAATAATGAGGAGCAACAATATTTTGCTTCTTTTACCTCTTTTAATACTAATAGTTAACAGGCCACAAGGTATTACCAAAATCTTAAGTAGTTTACCTCTAAAATAGCTTCATTTACTTGCATCTTTATGTCTTCTTTTATGTATGAATCCACCCCCCCACCCCATGTTTTCACTGTTTCTCGTCTGTTGCTGGACAATTTTCAGCAGCCAGTACTTCACAGACAAAAGTTCAATTCAGAAATATTTTCCATCTGAAAGTTAAGGTGTTATAAGATATAGCATTTCTTCTCTTCATTCCGACCAACACAAAAAGAAAGAACACCAACAACAGAAACAATAAATTGACCTTTATTCCCAATATAATAAGCGTTGACTACAAGAATCCTGTTTTTTTCTTTATGTTAAGTTCATCATACAAAATAAAAATAAGATGAAACTGTGGACCCTATCGTCTTATGTTCAATAAATTACTTGGATATAACCAGTAATTACTGCAGCTTCCGAGGATGCTGCCAGCTTTGTAATGACAAAGTTGAAGGAAACAAAATCCAATTATTTTATTAAATTAGGGGATTAAAAAAGCCAAGACTGTTGAATTTGTTAGGAAACCCTTGTCAAGCTGCTAAACATCTGGTGTCATCGTTTTTTTTAGCACGTAGAAGTTCAATATTCTGCATCTCTTTGTCCCGGAGTTTCCATGAAGTTGGTAAAGGATAACTATACAAGATTACTGAATTTCAGTAAGGTATAGTTCCAAAATGAAAAGTCATAACTGGATGTTTTCAAGAATTTTACCTAAATAACGTAATACATCAGAAGTGGTATAAAAAAATAGGTCTGAGGAATGGAAAGAATCAAAATTGCCTTTGTATTGTGTCTTCTGTTTTCATGCCTCCTGGCCTCAATACAATGTTATGGTGGGAGAGGATTCGACCCCTACAAATACTTAACACGCATCAGCAGTTCAAAGATCACTTGATTATCTTCAAGAGGAGCTGCAACTGAGTATTCACTGGTTCATGTAGGATCTCAGAAGGGTTTAAAGGATGCTGGCAGGATCTTCATTTTGTTGGGGCAACCAAAAGAAATAAATTTTGCTCAGTTTTCCGGGTATGTGACTGTCGATCCAGAGGCTGGCCGGGCACTCTTCTATTACTTCATAGAATCTGAAGTCTTCCACTAAGCATCTAGTCCTGTGGCTAAATGGAGCCAAGTCAGTAGATATTTTTATTAATGTTATTGCCGCAGCGGCGGAGCCAGCACCCGGCAAGGGGGCGCGGCCGAGCGTGCTAGCTCCGTCAGAGTCTTCAGTGGCCATTGGGACCGCCGGGTTGGCAGCAGGCACCTGCGCACAGCCGAGTGAGTTTTTAAGGCTATTTCTGTAATTTTAGTAAACTAAGCATCTAGTCCTGTGGCTAAATGGAGCCAAGTCAGTAGATATTTTTATTAATGTTATTGCCGCAGCGGCGGAGCCAGCACTCGGCAAGGGGGCGCGGCCGAGCGTGCTGGCTCCGTCAGAGTCTTCAGTGGCCATTGGGACCGCCGGGTTGGCAGCAGGCACCTGCGCACAGCCGAGTGAGTTTTTAAGGCTATTTCTGTAATTTTAGTAAATCCTCATCGGTCCACAAAGCAAGTAGCAAGTGATGTGCTAGGCTGTTGACTATGAACGTACTCCTTTAATTGCTACCAGCTGCGAAATGGGATCAGATTTGATGGCAGACCGAAAGCGTGGAAGAAGACGACCAGTTTTGATTTTTTTTTTCCTTTGGGTTGATCTAACCAAAAATTGGGCCTTTAAAAAAATAAAAAATTAAGCCCAAATGAGGAAATTGAATCCAATATGTCGGTCCATGATATATTGGTGTTATAGTTAATTGATATTTCCCATTTTCCCCTATTTGAAACGGCAGCAAACAACAAACCCTTGGTCCCTCACCCTTCAATTTTCATATTTCTATTCGAAGCAGTAGTAGCAACTAGATGTGGTGACCATGTGTTGGTGTGCGAAGTCTCAGAGGTGAATCTTCGAAGGACTCCAAGGACTGGAGACGCGACTGGCGTCTGGCGAGGCCGAGCAACTGAGCGAGCAGCCAGTATTGTGCAGTCAACAGTGGTGGTCGGTGAGTTCAATACTTGTAGTTGAAGACATGAATATTTGAATTGTTTTGGTTGTCTCACTTGTCTGTAACTCTATAGTCTCTGTTGACTGTTTTCCTTGTATGTTGATGTACTGTATTTGTTGATTTGTGCTTGTGCAACTGCAATTTGTCGACCCTTTGTTGTCTGTTGATCGTGTTGAGAGTTGAGTTGAGTGTGTTGAGTACTTGGGTGACTTGAGTTTGTTGGAGACTTGGAGTTTTGATTGACTTGAAACTTGAGTGTTGAACATTTTAGTGCATTTTACATTTTAGTACATTTACATATATATACAACAATTTTTGATATTATTTAATCAAATTTTAATACGATGGTTGATAATCGGCGATCAACGGTCAAAGTCAACGCCCTAACTAAACATGGAACCTAGATACGTCCCTGGTTATTGGCATCATTTAATTTCCTTTTTGCAATATTTAGTATCTCGAAAAGCATATTTCTCATATTCTATGGATGAATGATTATGCATCTTTTGACAGGACTGCTCTGCTTTTCTAAACTTTTGGAGGTAGAGCAATGACAGAACTTTGACTATTTCTAATGTAGGATATGGTTTGTTGAACTCCTTAAGAACAGAGAAGTAGGGAAGAATTCAACAGAAACAATACAAGAAGAATAGAAGTAGAAGAAGACAGCAAGAAAGGGGAAGAAAGCAGAGAGAATGGGGGAAAGAAATAGAAATTCAATGAGGAAAAGGGAAGGAAAATTTGGGCAATAAGCCAAGCAATTCATTTTTCAATTCATGCAATCATCGTCTGGTTTTCAAGCTTCATTACACATTCTTTAAATAAGCAAAACAAAACTAAAAGCATAAAGGGCTTGGGTCAGCCCATTAATACAAGCCCACTAAAGAAAGTATAAATAAAAGTCCATAATACAAAAGGCTGATGTCCGCATCAATTCTCCCGGGTGGGAAAAGAACTCGACCCTGGCGAGTAGATAAAACACAAAAGGTTGACATCAATCTCCAAACCATTAGCTACGTGGCTAACTTCATACCATGGAGGATGATCTTTCTTAAGAACCAAATATTGAAACTCGACAATTGATATCAATGAAAGCAATGTATTCGCAAGGATAGGATCCGACCAAAGGGGACGATCTCTCCTTTTAATCAAGTACTAATATGGAATTCCCAATAGCAAACACTCATGCAACTCATCTCCAAAATCTTCATGTGGTTGTGCATAGTGAGGAGCACAAAAAGCTAGTATCTAAGATTGGCTTGTAAAGATAAAAGATTGCAACATCGAATGCTTGAATATACCTTGATTATGAAACGATACTTCTATGTTGAAAATATAACTTTCATTTAAGTGAAATGGCTAGTCAAATAGAAAACCTTTGTGTGAATACTACAATTTATATTGCACATCTAAAGTAAATTCTAAACTTTCATGGTTAAAAAATGATTTGACCTTTTCAACTTGACATGAAATTTGGGAACATTGTCAATATAATGAAGAGCTAACACATCGTGTCAATAATTAGTGAGCAACATCCTAATGTCAATAGGAAGAGTGTGCAATAGAGTAATGACCTTAGAGAACAATGTGGCAACCCGTGGAATCTCATGTAATTGAGGAAGAACTAAAACAAAGTCAACATAAAAGTCTTGCAACATAGTAGGCACTAAATCTAGGACATCTGAAATGGTTGACTTCGGTGGCATTGCTTTAGGTACTTTCTCAATTATGTCAATCTTAAATGTATCGACTACATATGTGGTCAAAATAGGGGACAAAGATACTATTCACAACTCATGACATCCGTGAAAATGGAGGAAAGAACTGTACTATAATCATCTAGACAAACTTCTAAAGATCTTATAGCTCATTACAAGTAAGGACTGATCTTGTCAGCACATTTCTCAAGAAGTCTTTCCATCATACTAAATGCAATCGGAGAAACCTCCTTGTGTTTATTTTGAACACTATCCAAAAAAAAGGTAATCAAATGTAAAAGAATATTGTCACTTTCTTCTAATGTAAAGATAATGATAGTCTCTATAGATGTGAAGACATTCCCTAAATGATTTCCTTTGAGAGCTACAAAAAAGTGTTGGTTCATATCAATTATCACACGTTCACAATCTAAGTCCAACAAGATAAGATAGTATTTTGCATTAGCCATAGTATCTAGTGTCATAACTGTCAATTATTTCCTTTGAGATGTGAAGACATTCCCTAAATGATTTCCTTTGAGAGCTACAAAAAAAGTGTTGGTTCATATCAATTATCACACGTTCACAATCTAAGTCCAACAAGATAAGGCAGTATTTTGCATTAGCCATAGTATCTAGTGTCATAACTATCATAGTATACAAATTGATGGATGTGCTCGTGAGAGATGCCAATGACGATATAACCAAGGGAAAGATATCTTACATTATTTCATCACAAAAAGGGAGGATCAGGTGCCGTAATATGAGATATTTCACCAAGGCAAGAAAAAACAGCTTCTTGGATAGCAACATTAGGATGTCTTAACAGCTTATTTGAGACCAATACTATGCTAAATGTATTAATATTTGTGAGCATGGAAACAACACGCAATTGGCCCACTCGTGAAAGCAAATATTCAGTATGTTTAAATAATTATAGAAGTTCATTAGAAGACAACGAAAATTGAAGAAGTTTTTTTATTTTTTCAATTTTTTTAAAATAACAGGCAAACACACCTACATAAAAAGCAAAACTTTTAATACAGAAGAAATTGATACTTTACAAGGCTCTAAAAAGGTCAAATAATGTCCCATTCATGATTTTTATGTTGGCACGACT